AAAAAGAAGTATGCAAAATTTACATGAAGAAAATGATTTTTTAAAAACATTTCTTTTTGGGCAGCCTGGGTGGCTCAGCGGTTTAGCGCCGCCTTCAGCCCAGGGATTAAGTCCGACATCGGGCTCCCTGCATGGAGCCTGCTTCTCCCTCTGCCTGTGTCTCTGCCTTTCTCTTTCTCTCTCTCTCCCTCTGTCTCTCATGAATAAAATCTTAAAAAAAAACATTTTAAAAATTTTAAATAATTGTATTTATTTATTTGAGAGAGAGGGGAGAGTACAAGCAGGCAGAGGGACAGGGAGAAGCAGACTCCCTGCTGAACAGGGATCCTGATGTGGGACTCGATCCCAGGACCCTGAGATCATGACCTGAGCTGAAGGCAGACACTTCACTGCCTGAGCCACCCAGGCATCCCCTCAAAATTTTTCTTAAAGACATAAAATAAGATGTTTGAGAAAAGTGCAAGGATGTTCATTGCAGGATTATTTGTCTTGCAAAGGAACATTGAAACAACCTGAAAATTCACCAACATGGGGGTGGCTGCATGAATTTTTCATCCAGAGTGTGAGGTACCCTGCAGAAGTCAAAATGACTGATATATTTCTTTTTTTTAAATTGGAGTTCAATTTGCCAACATATAGCATAACACCCCGTGCTCATCCCGTCAAGTGCCCCCCTCAGTGCCTGTCACCCAGTTGATGTATTTCTACGTGTGATCCCTATTTGTTCAACAGATCTATCTCCATGACTTGGTAAACAGAAAACACATGTTGCAGAAGAGGGTTTCTCAATAGTAAATAGTATTAATCATGTCTAATGGGATGCCTGGGTGGCTTGGTGGTTGAGTGCCTGCCTTTGGCTCAGGGTGTGATCCTGGGGTCCTGGGATCGAGTCCCACATTGGGCTCCCTGAATGGAGCATGCTTCTCCCTTTGCTTATGTCTCTGCCTCTCTGTCTCTGTGTTTCTGATGAATAAATAAATAAAATCTTTAAAAAAAATCATGTCCAATAATATTGACTATTATGGCTTTCTGCATTATCACTTGAAAAGTTGTAAGCAGGTGGCATGGCTGATGCTCTGCTTGCCAAAGAGTCGTAGTCTCTGAGCTTGGAGCCTCTGTGAGACAGAAAGTCCCCAGAGGTGACTTTGGATGGATTCCCAAGTTGATGAGAGAGAGACAGAGACAAGCAAGCAGAGATTGTGTGGCTCAGAGTCGATGGCAAGGGAGTCAGCAACACTTGACTCATGCCTTCCCTGCCTTCAGCTTATAAGTGGGGGTTCATCCCAGAGCTAGGAATCTCAGTTTGGATTTTTGTCACCTCATCCCCTGGAGGAATTGGCCTCCCACAAGCCCATCTCAGCATCCTGAAGAGGTCTGGTTTCACTGCTGCTGGGGGGGGGGGGGGGATGGTCAGGACACTCAGCCGGATGGGTCAGGCCACTCCACATTCCTGAAGGGCTTCCCTCTCATTCCTCGGCCGATGAGAGGCAGCAGAGCTGTGAGTCCACCAAGTGTGAACCAGAGCACTGGTTACTAACTTTGAGACCATGGACAAAGTGCATAACTTTTCTGTCCCTTAGTTTTTCTGTCTGTGAATAGGGATGATAAAATCATGCCTTCCTTCTAGGGCGGTTGGTAGGAGTAAGTGTAGTGTATGAAACGCACCCAGTTCAGTGCCTGGCTCTCAGGAAGTGTTATTCAAACCGCATTATCCTTCTGCTGATGTAGTACAAGGGACTCAAGATGAAGTCAGGGAGGCAGCCTCAGTACTATTGGGATTTGGTGCTAGATCATTCTTGCTGAGAGTGGCTGTCCTGTGCACTGTAGGAGGATGTTCAGCAGCATCCCTGGTCTATATCCACTAGATGCTTCTAGCATCCTCCCCAGTCGCAACAACCAAAAATATCCCCAGACATGGTGGCTTGTGTCCTGGGAGGAAACAGTTATCCTCAACTGAGAACCGCTGCTCTAAGTGAGCTCCCTGTGAGTGGAACCATGCAAGCCAAGGCTGTGCAGCCAGCAAGGTGGGAACCCTATAGGAGGGTCTCGGCTCTGGTCAAGAGGCAGGCAGTTCCTAACTCCAGACTTGATGCTTCCATGTCACTCATCAGCCAGGCTTATTTCTCCCAGTGGCCTATGGCTCAAATCCAGGCTCTCTGCTCCTCTCCACCGTCTCTGATTAGGATGTTGGTGGTACTCTGATTTACATCCACGAAGAGGTAATACCACGTAGTTCTGAGAAACATAGACCTTTCCATTCGGAAAAAATCCTGAAGACGCACAGTGTTTTATGTACCAGGCAGTGTTCTAAGAGCTCCACACATACTCTGCACATACTACCAATCCCATGGCGCGGGGGAGGGATGGCCATAGATAAAGGAACCAAAGCACAGAGAGGTTAAGTAATTTACCTCTCAGGCAAATTAGGACCACACAGCTAGTAAGTGGCAGGGCCAGATACTTTCTCTCCAGAGTCTGTTCTGTAAATTAGGACAACCTGCCTCTTGGTTGTGAGTATCAATTCTGGTGACTTTTTTTTTTTTTAAGATTTTGTGTATTTATTCATAAGAGACACAGAGAGAGGCAAAGACATAGGCAAAGGGAGAAGCAGGCTCCTTGCAGGGAGCCTGATGCAGGACTTGATCCCGGCACTCAGGGACCACACCCGGGGCCGAAGGAAGATGCTCAACTACTGAGCCACCCAGGCGTCCCACAACACACAGTTATTATCTCACAGTTTTGGGAACTGGAAGCCTGAGTTGGGTGTCTCAGGGCTAAGATCAAGGTGTCTGCGGAGCTGCCCTCTTTTCTGGAGGCTCACAGGAAGAACCCAAGTCCTTGTCTGTCCCAGCTTCCAGGGACACCCGTACCCCCTGACCAGTGACCCACAGCACACTAATCTGTACTTCTGTCATCTCTTCTCTGACTCTCTCTCCCATCTTTTTAAAGGACCCCTGTGGCCACAGTGGTTTCAGCCAGCTCATTAGTTTGCTGGGGCTGCCACAGCAAATTGCCATGGACTGAGTGGCTTCAAACCACAGAAATATACTCTCCTGCAGTTCTGGAGGCCAGAAGTCTGAGACTAGGTTGTCAGCAGGACCACGCTCCTTCTGACACCTGCAGGGGACCTTGTCCACCTAGCTTAGCTTCTGGTGATTTGCCAGTGGTCTTTGGCATTCTTTGGCTATAGATGCATCACCTCAATATTTGTCTTAGTCATCACATGGTGTCTCTGTCTTCAATTGACCATCTTTTTATAAGGACCTCAAGGTAACTAATTACATCTGCAGTGACCTACTTCCAAAAGAGGTTACACTCTGAGGTCCTGGGGGTTAGGACTGCAATGTATCTTTTGCTGGCAGCAGGGAATGGGGAGGGCACAATTCATCTATAACACCCAAATAATCCAGGATAATCTCCACACCTGAAAAGCCTCAGCTTCATCACATTTGCACAGTTCCTTTTGCCTTGGAAAGTCACAGATGCATAGGTTTCAGGGATTGGGACACAGACCTCTTTGAGGGGCAGACATTATTCTGCCAATAAGAGGCAAATAATAAGTGAGGTCGTTTATGTCCCAGAGGGGCCCACCAAGACGCAGCTAGGAGCGAGTCTCCCAGCACCCGTAACATTGAAAATGACAACGGCAGCGGGCTGGAGTGTGAGAAAAGTAATATTTTCCATGAAGATGTTTAAAGATATATTTTCATGTCTAATTTACTACACAACCCCAGCAGCTTAGTGACCATAACAGAAAGGAAAATAAGGAACACACACAAGGAAAATGATAACAGTGATGGACGATTCTTAGTGACAGCTTGCCACCTTCAGGGTCTTGTTTTAAACATGCTTCTTTCAACACCTCAAGTGATCCTCACGGCATTACATTATTCCATTCCATAGAGGAGAAAATTGAGGCTCAGGGAGATTAGTATTTGTCCAAGTTCACACAGAACCCAAACCCTGGCTGTCTGGTTGCAGAAATATTCCTAAGCACTACTTCTCTGCTATACACCACCTCCTATGCTGGATGCCAGGACACAAAGACACCTGTTCAGGTGGCCATGCTCATGGTCTCATGGGTGAAACAGACCATTTGAAGGCCTTGGGTTGGGTATCATAATTAAGATGCTACAGAGCTATGGAGCAAATATGCATGACAAAGGACGCCTGGGTGGCTCAGGGGTTGACCATCTGCCTTTGGCTTAGGGTGTGATCCTGGGGTCCGGGATCAAGTCCTGCATCGGTCTCCCTGTGAGGAACCTGCTTCTCCCGCTGCCTGTGTCTCTCTCTGTGTCTCTCATGAATAAATAAATAAAATCTTTAAAAAATATATATGCATGACAAGACCAAAAGTCTTAAACTGGAGGTCCCATTTGATATGCAGAGTGTTTTAAATTTGAACTTACTGCCAACATATAAAAGTCAGGAAATTTCACATATTTAAAAAGATTTTATTTATTTATTTATTTATTTATTTATTTATTTGAGAGAGAGTACAGGAGTGGGGAGGGGGGAAGGGTAGAGAGAGAGGGGGGAAGAAGACTCCCCACTGACCAGGGATCTCATGACTCCACCATGAGATCATGACCTGAGCCAAAATCCAGAGTCAGATACTCAACTGACTGAGCCACTCCGGTGCCCAAGAAATATCACATTTAAAGAATAATCTGGAACTCTGGCTTTTCTTGGCAAATAGAGGATCCAGCAGTGCTTGGTCCACCAACGACAGCTGGCGAGAGCTTAGAGCAGCTGTCTCACTTGAACAGAACATCTTGTGCGGACATGACAGCCAGATTCACTAATTTATGTGTCTGCCAGGGCTCTGAAAGCATTTGGAACTTGAGACCTCTAGGGAAGACAGTGCATGTGTGTTTCATCCAGATGCACATCACCCCCCTTTCTTTTCCTCCTCGGTATTGATTATTGTCTCATTATTCCTGTCTTGTGCTTCTCCTTGAGCATGCTCGGCAGTTGAGGAGCTTTTCCGAAGGCAGACCATGACCAATCTCACAGCAGTATCTGTCTTCCTCCTTTGGGGCTTCTCGGCTGTGCCCAAGTTACAGCTGCTTGACTCGGCCACCTTCCTTCTCGTTTATCTGGCTGCGATTTTGGGAAACATTGCTATCCTGGCTGCCTTGACACACGACACCTGCCTGCACACACCCATGTACTTCTTCCTCAAACATCTGTCCTTGGTGGATGTCTGCTCCATGTCCACCACCCTGCCCCAGGCCCCAGTGGTGACCGTGCTGGGCTCCGAGATTTCCCTCCATGCATGTGCATTCCAGCTCTTTGCTTTTGTCTGCTTTGGGTCCACAGAGTGTTTTCTCATCACTTGCATGGCTTTCGATCGTTGTCTGGCCATCTACAGGGCCCTGGTGTACAGGGAAGCCATGAGCCTGGGGACCTGCATTTCTCTGGTGTCAGTGGCCTGGGGCAGTGGGCTCGTTTTCTCTGCCTTCCACACAGCCAACACCTTCTCCCTGCCCTTCTGTGGCCCCAATGTGATTGACCACTTCTTCTGCGACATTCCTCTGCTAATGACACAGATGCCCACAAGGCTGCAGGATTTGCAGTCAGCGGCTGCATCATCATGAGCTACTTTGGCCTCACTGTCTTGTCCTATGTCCGCATCTTGGCCACAGTGTTTCAGATTCACTCCACAGTCAGCCACTGGAAGGCCTTCTCCACGTGCTCTTCCCACCTGGCCACCGTTCTCCTGTTTTATGGCACTGGCAGCTCTGCCTATATGCAGCCTGCCACCAGGTACTCCCCAATGTAAGGGCGCATGGCTGCTATCTTCTACTCCATCCTCACGCCCACCCTGAATCCACTTATCTACAGCCTGAGGAACAAGGACATGAAGGGAGCCCTGCAGAAGTTTATCCTTAGGTACACTTTAGGATTTGGCATCTGGACATGAGAGGAACCCAGAAAACCTTACTTTGTTGAGACATTTTGGGGAGAGGTTTTGGAAGAGAGTTGCTGTGCTACCAACATATCCTTGAGGATGGAAGAGTCCTCTTCTACTTGAGAATACCAACCTCTTGGTCAAATGCATAACCCTTGGGAGAGACAGAAATTGTCCAAAAAGAGAAAGGGTGATCACATGGCCCATGGCATGTGATGGGCCAGTTAGATTAGACAAATCTTTGGTGATCACTTGGGTATGGTAGACACACTCCAAGGTGATCACCAATGAATCACATCCTTGTATAATCTGCTCCCCTGACTAGGAAAGAAACTTGTGATATATTTTTAGCTCAAAGAATATAGCAAAAGTGATGGGACATCACTTTCATAATTACCTGAGATCTACTCAGTGAGACAGAAAATATCCAGGCACTGGTGTATTCCCTGGATCCCTAGGTGGCTTGCTCCCTATAATCCTTTAGTTTTCAGCTCTAATGTCACCTCCTCAGAAGGTTCCTCTACAACCCTCTCATCCGAAGCAGGTCACCCCCTGGTCACTCTCAATGTTCTCATTTTGTTTTATTATCTACTTTCATTCACCAACCTCCGTAATTACCTAGATTATTCAGTTTGTCTGTTTTGACTCAAATCCTCATCCCCTCCCTCCAAATATAACCTCCACGAGAGTGGAGCTTTGTTTTCTTAAATGCTGCATTCCCCATGGGTAGCATACTGTTTGGCACACACTAGGTGTTCAGTATGCATTTCTCTGAACAAACAAACGTGAGGCAGAATAATAAAAAGCAAATGCCAGAGCTGCTGTGGTGTTAGCTGGAGTCAGAGGGCTGGGACCTCTGAGCACTTAATAGTTCTTTATCTCCTTCTCCACACTGACTTGTGGCACACCCCCATGTCTGAACCCAGTTCAGACAACCCTTCCCTCATCAGATCAGTAAGTGCAGTTGAATCCAAACCACCACTGATTGGAAGATACTCTGTTATTTTACATTCTACTAAGAAAGAAAAAGACACTGCCAGTCAAACTAGGATATACCTTGTCAGTAAAACACATCTCGACTTCCCATGTTAGAGCATGTTGCTCAGCCTTCAGATCACAGCTCAAACATCACTTCCCGACCACCCCTGCTGGCCAACTGGGGTCACTTTCCTTCTATACTCTCAGAACTCCGATTTCTCCAAAATGTGTACTGCAGTTTCAATGAATTGTTTAATTACTTGTTTACAAATCTGTCCTCCACACACTAGAACAAAGCTGAAGGAAAGTGGAGATTACATGTGTTTGTTTCCTATTATCCAAGGGTGTGTTGGAAAACCAGCACTCTGAAAGAAAACATTGTAGCATTTGCTAGCTGCCAAGGTGTAAATCATCTTACCACAGCTGATGTTAAACTACAATGCACTAAAGCCTAACAATGAATTTGCAACAAACAACTCTTGTGAGATGTGCTAGCCTGCTCCAGCACACAGTTGCCCAGGACCACACACTGTGTCTGTGCATAATAGAAACTCAATAAGTAACTGGTTAGTGGATGAATGCATTGATGTTAAACCACCTTGAATGAATATGTAGCAAGTTCTTCAAACTTAACACATCTATAGGCAGATCTCTCTTCCTCCTGCATACCCTGCCTTTCCCTTTCCAACCCAGTTAGTCGTGTCAGGGCAGAAACCTAGCAGGCACACTGATTTCTCTCTTACTCCTACCTCTCCCCATTGCACTTCACATCCAGTATGTCCCTCAATGTGTATTTAAAACCACGCACTTGAGGATCACTGGGTGGCTCAGCGGTTTAGCGCCTGCCTTTGGCCCAGGGCGCAATCCTGGAGTCCCGGGATCGAGTCCCACGTCAGACTCCCGGCATGAAACCTGCTTCTCCCTCTGCCTGTGTCTCTGCCTCTCTCTCTCTCTATGTCTATCATGAATAAATAAATAAATAAATCTTAAAAAAATAAAACTATGCACTTTACCCATGCCCATGCCACCAACCTCATCCAGCACACCATCATCTCTGTCAGGACTCCTGCAACAGCCTCTTCCCTGATCTCCCTTCCTTCACTCTGACCTTCCCAAGCTCACCCTCCACCCAGAAGCCATGGGTTCCTGTGAAAGTATAAATCAGACCATGCCATCCCCTCCTGCAGCCCTTCACTGCTCTGTCACTGCCTCTGGCCTGCTTCCCTGCACCATCCCCTGCATCTTCTCCCACATCAATCTTCCTGCCTCAAGGCCTTTGCAGTTGCTCTTTCTTCAGTCTGGAATATCCTTCCCTACACTAGGGCCTTGCTGCTGCTGCACCTTTGAGATGCGCTTCAAATGTCATCTTTTTGAAGATGAACAGACCTTTCCAAGCCACCTCTCCCAGCAGCATCGCCTTTCCCTTCTCATTGCTTTCTGGTCCCTTATCATTTCTGGAGCATTGCTCTCTCACTTCTGAGACAGGGAGTGTCAGCTTTGCAGTGCTCCTTCCTACTTCTGAGACCAGGGGAGTTTAACCTGGGGATGACAGAACCCCAGTGCCACAGGGAGGTGTGCCTGTGGGCCAGTCTCTGGAGGACAACTCCCAGAGCGCTCTGGCCAGGGCGCTGGGAGTGCTTCTGCTTCCAGCCGGGCTCTAGCGAGGCTACAACCTCAGGGTTGTGGAGCCTACCGGCTCTGCGCATGCACGCATGGTGCGCACAGCGGGTGAGCGAGAGTAGGTGTCTGCGTATCCTTTCCTGGGTGTGATTTGTGACCCGCCCGTGATTCAGTGTGAGTGTGTGGGCGACCAGGGCCTGTAGTGTCCGGTGTGTGTATGATGGAGCGAAGTCCATGTGCTGGGAGATATGTCTGCGTGTCCTGTGCAGGTGCACCTGGAGGAGCAGCAGGTCCCCTGTGAGTGGAGGGCAGGGCGGGGCGTCTACACCCCGGTGTGGATGGAGTGTGCATGCTCCCGTGCAGGTGCACCTGGGGGAGCAGCAGGTGCCCTGTGAATGGAGGATGGGGAAACGCGTCTACACCCTGGTGTGGATGGAGTGTGTGTGTTCCTGTGTAGATGCACCGGTGCCCTGTGAGTAGATTGCGGGGCAGTGTGTGTGCATGTGTAAGTGCAGAACATTGTCTAGCGAGATTTGTTGTCACAGTTCAGATGGGATTTCATGAATGTTTGAAATTGTCTCTCAGGATGTATGTGTGTATGATTTTGTCTGTGGGTTTCCACTGCCTGCATGAGGCTGAGTGTGCCTGCTGAGTGTTGATAGGGCTTGGTTGTGTGTAAATTTGTACTTGCACCCAGTCTGTGTGACGAATGCAGATCTATATGTAGCGAGGGTAGATTGTAGTTTGTCATTTAATGGTTTTGTTTGTGTGATTGAGTGGGATTTTTGTGTCTGTGATTGAATGGGCGGCTTTTGTGTGATGGGAAACGTGGTACTGAGTGACTTGTGACTCTGCGATGAAGTTTGGTATATGTCTGTGATTTTGTGTGGGATGGGCTTACGTGGTGGGCGGTTTTGTGTGGCTGTTGTGATATGTGTACCGTGCAATCCTGATGTCCTTGTGGGAAGGGCTACTAGGCACCTGCCTGAGGAAGTGAACAGTGTGTGTGTGTGTGTGTGTGTGTGTGTGTGTTGGTGCACAAGTATGACAAGTGTATCTAAATCAGGTGAGTCTCTGGTGAGTCTGTGTGGCTGTGTGCTTGTCTGAAGGTGTTGTCCCTCGTGCATGAGATTTCAAGGGGATGCCTGTGAAGTTTTGTTTGTGGATGGTGTGTGTGTGTGTGTGTGTGTGTGTGTGTGTGTGTGTGACGGAACTTATATTCTAGGGAAGAACAGCAATAAAACAATGCCAGTCACTGACGAATGCTCTGCAGGAAATACTAGAGGGCAGTAGGACAGGGTGACCTAGGGTGACCCACCCCATCCTCCACTCAGTTTGGGCAGTTAGAAACACCCTCCTGAGGACAGAGTCTAGGCTCAGCCTAGTGGATGAGGGCCACCGCTGGCTGACACAAGTTACAGGCCTGACCTGACCCCAAGAGGTGGGGAGGGGCAACACACAAGGTGACAGGTTGCTGCAGAGATACAGGGCCAAGGGTATAGCTCCAGGGAGCATGAAGAACGGGACAGTAACATGATCTCCCACATCAGCAAGCTCAGGTTATGCTCACGATGTCCTGCAGGTAGATCCTATTCTAATCCCCACTTCACAAATATGTCCAAGGTCATAGAGCAAGTGGGTCACAGGTAGGATTTGAACCCAGGTACCTTGGTTCCAGCATCATAGCTCTCAGCTTGGATCAGGCTGCAGGAAACAGTGGCCACCTACCCCCTCCTCCTACCCCATGAGGGGTGCGGTCATTCCAGGTGCCTGAGGAAGGGGCTGGTACGATGGCCCAGCTGGGCCTCCTCTCTCACTGTCCTTTCTTTCTCACCCAGCTTGGGTCTCAGACCTCCACCAGGAGAGGTTCTCTAGAGAGGAGGCCATGGTTCCTACACTTGTCTCCACTTGTCTCCCCTGGAAGGGCCATTGGGTTCTAAAAGACAAGATGTCGCTCCTGGTTTCGAACAGAGCCATCTCCCAGCTGGTAGTGGTGATGGTGGGTGTACTTCACGGTTAGTCAGCAGATACCCGTGGGCCCCCTGAGTGCTGGCTACCCTACAGGCACTGTGGTGCGATCCTACTGGTCCCTGCTCATGTGGAGACCAGGAATGACATTGGGGATGCTTAACAAACATGCCAGCCTGGCCATTCAGGGGTGGTGAGGGCTGCAGGAGATGTATGAACGTAGCGAGCAGGCTCAAGCAGCAGGCTCGGAGGGCAGCAGCCCTGAGCCAGTGTTCCTTGGCAGCTGTCCGCTGGGCTGAGTAGGGGCGTCCCCTTGGGACGGGGATTTCCAGTTTGCCTCCCCGTTGGTCCTTGGCAACCGCATCCTGCGTGGGTTGTCCACCGAGAATGACTTCCATCCGAAAAGGGAGCAATGGAAGCAAGATGAAGGAGGGCCATGCATTTCA